CCTGTTCCAATGCTTGACAACCATTTTTGTGAAGGAATTTCTCCAAATAGCTATTCTAAACCTTCCCTGTTGCAACTCGAGGCCATTTCCTCTTGTTCTATTGCCTGTTAGAGGGGAAGAGAGGCTGAGCCCCCCACATCACCACAGCCTCCTTTTCAGGCAGCTGTAGAGTAACAAGGTTTCCCCTGAGCCTCCTTTTCTCTAGGATAAACACCCCTACCTCCCTCAGCTGCTCCTCATTTGAGTTGAGTTCCAGACTCTTCACCAGCTCCATGGGCAAGATCCAGCCCCTCAATCTCCTTCTTGTAGTGAGGAGCCCAGAACTGGACACAGCACTCGAGGTGTGGCTTCACCAGTGCCCAGTACAGAGGGACAATCACTGCCCTGCTCCTGCTGGCCACACCATTCCTGATCCAGGTCAGGTGCCATTGGCCTTCTTGGCCACCTGAGCACATGCTGGCTCATATTCAGCTGCCATCAACCAGCAGCCCCAGGTCCTTTTCCTATGAGCAGATTTCTACCCACTCTTCCCTCAGCTTGTAGCACTGTGTGAGGTTGTTGTGACCCAAGTAAAGGGCCAAGCACTTTTCCTTGTTGAGTCTTATCCTTAAGGCTTTGGCCTGTTGATCCAGCCTGTCCTGATCCCATGGCAGGGCCCTCTTACCCTCCAGCAGATCAACACTCCCCCTCAGCTTCATGTTATCTGCAAACCGATTAAAAATGTACTTGATCCCCTCGTCCAGATCATCACTGAAGATATTAAACAGGACTGACCCCAGTACTGAGCCCTGGGGAACCCCACTGGTGCCCAGCTGCCAGCTGGATGTAACTCCATTCACCACCACTCTCTGGGCCTGGCCATCCAGTTTTTTACCCAGCACCTATCCACACCATGGGAAGCCAATTTCCTCAAGAGAATGCCATGAGAAATGGTGTCAGAGGCTTTACTAAAAGTTTAGATAGACAACATCTGCAGCCTAAGACCTGGCTGCATGTTTTCGTGGAGCTTTGTCTAAGTTGCCACATCCTTTCTGGAACATGCAGAGGATGCAACTTTTTTGTTCATTATTTTGTTCAATAATATAAAAACATAGGAGCATTCAAACTTTCTTCAGTGTTAAATCTCCTGAAATGTCACTTGTAGGCTTCATATGGCTTCATACATTGATAGTATGGTATTAATGGCTGCTTTAGAAGTGGCTCTAAGCAATAAGCAGGTGCAGATCTATACCTTGTATATATAGGTGTATATATATGTATATCTATATAGATGTATCTATACACCTGTACCTGGAGATAGCAGTCAAGTGTCATGCTTCCTCACTCACTGATTTGCATGATCAGCTCAGCTGGGCAAAAGCAACTGGGGACACTGGCCTCATCTGTTAATAGCTTTCCCTGACAATACACATAATTACCACCTGGTCCCCAATGTCACTCTTGTAAGCATGTCTGTGCCTGCCTGCTGGTCAATTGATGATCAGTCTCTTTCACTGGTGTTAGTTCACTCAGTAATGCAAAGCAGCTGATCAGTAATCCTGGCCTAATTTGTATCTCCCTTTGCCTTGGTACGTAGAAGCACAAAGCAACCACTGCCCACTTATGAATCTGGCTCAAAACTTCAGGTGTTTTTCAGCCCAGCCAAGACTCCGCATGTATATCTTCAGTTTCTGTGAGGTATTATGGTACCTTTATTGTGGCTTATTGGGTTTCCTCACAGGCTTTCTGGTAAAATATTCACATGTAAAAACTTTTTTAAAGAAATTCTCAGACAACAATCAATGTTAAATTGGAGTCAATATTAAGAATCTGTATCACTAATTTAACTGAACATAATCCTGGAAAAGACACCAGCTGCAGCCACTAGCTACTTGTTGGATCTCAAGAATCTGAAGTTTTTGAGCTTTCTGTGCTTCCTGACACAGACTCCCTTGAAAACACTACTCTGGACCTGGAACCTTGGAGAAGATTTGTAAATGTAAAAAATGAGTTAGAAATCACAAATGTGTAGTGGGTTAGATGAGTGTATTTTCACTGGGTGATGGGTTTTAAATTTGAAGGTTTTACAGTATAGTGGTAGTTATGAGACAAGATGGAGAATTTTGGGTGGTGTCTTTTCTTCTTGTTCATCTTCTTCTCTTACTTCTTCACAGAACTTAGGTAGTAACCTTTGGTTGGTCAGTCAAAATGTCACTCTAAGGATGGTGGGAATCTATTATTGGATCAAAAGTACAAATAATATAGGTGTAAAACTTTTATTGGTGTGTTTAGCTTTAAAAGGCCTTGTAGCAATCTCAGCTGGAGCCATTTTTCCTACTTCTAGCAAGCAGCTAGAGGTACTGATGTACTTTCTGTAATTTTTGATCAGATATAATCAACATCCAAGTCTGTACACGAGAAACCGTCTCAATTGCCTTTCTAATAATCCTGGCTCTGAACAGAAACAGACGAGACTGAGACAAACCACTAATTAGTGGTGCAAAGCCCAGCACGATCCTACAGCTACTCTTGTCAAAATCAGATTCTACTTTTTCCCAGATTTGATCATATTTGCAACCAGTGAACTGGATGTCAGGTCCTTAATGAACACTCCCAATGAGATAACAAGTAAATGCATATTCCTGCACTGAAGTCTGACAGATATTTTATTATCGTGAGATCTCAAATGTAAGAATGCTTTGAATTCTAAACTGAATAGTCTGCTTTGTTTCTATACTATCCTTTGATCAATGGATTACAAAAATTGTTAAGATATACAAATCTAAAAACCTTTTAGATTGCATTTGTCTTTTTTATTGGTCTAAATAAAGCAGGCATTTAGTTGGCAATTACAAACTGTTTATTTTAACTAAGCCTATATTCAGTCATGCATATCAAGGTCATCTGATGAGTGAAGACTCCTGTATGTGCATCCCTTGTCCCAGTCAAGCCAACTTAAAAATTCCAGTGCTTTGTCTGTTATCAGCATGCTAAATTGAACTTCAGCCTATGTCTTATTACTCTTTGAAGTTGTATGACCCTTTGATTGCTACAATGTCTAAAATACAAATCCTAAAGATGATACTTACTGTGGAACCCAACCAATTCTATAGCTTCAAAGATGATAAATTATATAGATTTGTTTTGGAAGATTGGCTTATCTATAATGTTAGCATTAATGAAAATGCTAACATTATTAATGAAAAATGCATTAATTACCCTTCTGCCTTATAATGGACTTTCTTCTATGTCTAGTCTGCTGTCCTTCTTCCTCATACCTAAGAAAAAGGCTCCAAACATCAAGAATTCTATATTCTAAATTCCATTTAAATAATTTATTATCAATGCTATTTTGAATGCTTGTTTTTGAAGCATTCCACATTTTCTCTACCTTGACTGTTACAGTGACCTTTATTCTTTTAGAACTAGTTCAAAGAGCTCACTCAATATACTTAAGTGCTGTGCTCTGTCAGAGTGATATCTCATCCTGGCAAATATCCAGCTGGTATTTCATATAAATTTACACAACAGAAACCATTACAATTTGAACTCCCTTCACCCAGTTCTCATCACACAAGCCCACGTTTGTACCCTAGTGCCAATACACAACCTTCTCACAACACCATTTGAAATTAAGGGACAGTTAGCTTCAGGACATGCCATCAAACTGTAATCCATCTTAAAGCTACAAATTGAATAAAGCTCAGTTTGGCAGACCAGAGAGATTATGATTCATGCTTTAATTTTATCTGTCAGGTGCTGTTGCAGTGCTGTTCTGGCTAGTGTCCCAGAAAGACTCTAAAAAGACAGAACAAACAGCTCTTAGAATATACACAATTTTTGTATATGACATGTATTTTGTATATAAACATGACTTCTCTTGTATTTGACCTCCTGAAGTTACCAAATGAAGACAAAATCAATCAATTTTTTCCTGACACTTTCTTGTGGAACTGCTTCTTTCCTATGTCTGCTATACAGTTAGTTATCTTCTAGTTACACAGGGACAGAGTCTTACCCTGAGTTACCTACACTTTGAATGGCTCGTATAAAGTTGTGATGGTTAACCCAAGCACATTATCTACTGCATTATACTGCACATTAATGAGAGACATGGCTAAAGAGTTTCAGATACATGTCTCTCTTCTTAACTGTGCAATAGCTTTTTTCCAATGAATAAATCCAATTATAGGATTTTTTTTCTTTCAAACAATTCCAGTACATCTAAAATACCTGAATTTGTTTAAAGTCTTCTTACATGTGCAGCTAACAAACATGCTGTTGTTGATGTATGAGCTAGTATCTCGCATTATTAATTACTTTATCTGCTTAAGTATACTTCCTTAAGGATAAGGGAAATGCCTTTACTATATATTCTACTGGTATGATAAAAAGGACATTCAACACTTCATTCTTAGCAATATTTATCAAGGTTTATATGAAAATGGTAGTAGCTATATAGATTTGATGAGAACAAATTTGGACATTAGAGTTGTCTGGAATGCTGCAGAATTTGCAATCAATTAAAAATAAAAGATTCTAGATAGTCTTTCCATAAATCCAGTCTTCAGGAAAGATCAGTTTTTCTCTGAAATATATAATTTAATAGGTTATATATAAAGACTTTATTCTGGAAGAGATTCATTAAGGCAATGAATGTCCTTATTTATTTTGCAAGTGGTAATGAACAAACTGAGACAGAGATCTGCTTGGTATGTTTGAAAACATAAATCAGAAACTGTCAGTCAAAGCTGACTTAAGGCTTGTGGCTTACACTGCCTTGATCTCAGGGTTTCTTTGAAGATTTCTTTGTAGGACTGTAAGAGAGCATTCTGAGGGTTAGTCAAGTGTGTGTAACAACTACAGATGATGATAACTGATGCAGAATTAATCATAGAATCATAGAATATGAGGATTTGTAAGGGAGCCATCAGGATGATCGAGTCCAACTCCTGGCCCTGCACAGGACACCTCAAGGATCACACCAGATGTCTGAGAATGTTGCCTAAACGCTTCTTGTGCTCTGCCAGGCTGTGCTGTGACCACTTCTCTGGGGAGCCTGTTCCAGTGCCCAACCACCCTGTGGGTGAGAAACCTTTTCCTTATATGCAGCCTAAACCTACCCTGACTCAGCTTCAGGCCATGGTCACAAGAGTGAAGAGATCAGTGTCTGCTGCTCCTCTTCCCCTCACAAGGAAGCTGTAACTGCAGTGAGGTCTCCCCTCAGTCTCCTACAGGCTGAACAGACCAAGTGACCACAGCTGTTCCTCAAATGGTTTCCCCTCAAGGCCCTTTGCCATCTTTGTTGCCCTCCTTTGGACACTCTCCAAGAGCTTTATATTTTCCTTACATTGTAGCACCCAAAACTGCCCCCAGAACCCAAGGTGAGGCCCCCGGCAGTGCAGAACAGAGCAGGACAATCCCCTCCTTTGTCCTGGCTGGTGATGCTGCATCCCAGAACATGGTTGGCTCTCCTGGCTGCCAGTGCACACTGCTGACTCATATTCAACTTGTAACAAAATGTGTCACTTTTCAAACTCCCTTTCGTGTAATTATGTGGGGTTTCTGTTTGTTTGTTTGGGGTTTTGGGGTGGTTGTTTGTTTGTTTGTTTGTTTGTTTGAAATAACCAGAGGGCAGCAGTTAACTTGGGAGCTGAGCTTTTGCATCAGTGATGTGCCTTTGCAGCATTAGCCATGCAGCCTCACAGTCACTTGCTGGTTTGGCAGCCCTAGTCAAACCCCGTGGAGCAGCTGCATTGTGAAGAAGTCATCTCATCTCAGTGTTCAACTTCCAGTGATGGTGATCTATGATGATCATCTTGATAATTGCAGTATATTTTTCCATTGCATTTTTAAAGGTTTGAGCTATCTTAAAAAGAGAAGCACTGCAAGATTCAATAGGCTTTTATTTTGATGTGTTTTTCTTGAATTCTGAACAATTTAGAGAATCTTCTACTTGAGCAATTACCTAACAGGAGGAACCAACACTGATCCATGGCAACTGACAGGTTCCTCTGGGAGATTTCTGCTTCTTCCAGCCCTAGACCACCTGTCAGTGCAGTAGGCTCACTTTAAATAGTGCTCTAAACCAACAGGAAAAGCCTGAGGATACACTCCACATTAATTTAAGAACCTCATATTTCTGTCTTTCTCTCATTTATATACTAATTTTGAAATTAATATTTCAACTTTATTTTGAAAAAGAAGCTCTGTGTAAAACACTTTTATGTAATATTGAGTCTATACAGTCCAGCCCTGCACATGGCAACAGTACAAGTCCAAGCAAAAGGATGGGAAGAGAGACAAAAGGGTGGTAAGATGCAGTGCATGGTTATTTAGGGATGTTGGCATTGCAATAACCTTAGCACAGTGGCAAGGAAATTGTCTTTTCCTCAGGGAAGAGGCTTCCCCACCTGGCCTTGATTCTGTATCCACACAGACATGTTCTACTGGCTGGATCTGATCCCTGTTCATTTTTTTCTTCTTTTTTGTTTTTTTTATTCTATATTTTGTATTCAATTTAATTAAATATAGGAGGGAAAACCAACAAAGAAATGGAAAAGTAACGCTGGAGCTGGAGGCAGAAGATACTGATGAAGACTATGTCACAGAGGGGTTAAGCTTTGGCAAACTGAGACCAAGAAAATAATTCCAAGCCAAAAAAGAAAAGTGAGATCGCTTACCAGCACTCCTGCATGTTGCACTTCTATGACATTCATCATTATCTTCCTTACCTAGAGTAATGTGGAAATTAGGGGAAAAGGGACTCATGAGGTTTCTCATGGAGATCTCTTGCCTCAGAATATTTCATAATGAAAATGTAGTGAGCTGATATGGAATATCTTTCAAGAAGAATTTGCAATTCTTTTGAATGGTTAAGTACCCATGTCTCTGTGTTTGTATGCATGTATGTATAATTACAAGCAGTGAAATATGCTTTTTACTACACATAGGAAAGGTATTCTCAAAGACTAATCATCTTTGTGTGGTTTTTTTCTGACAGAAAGTTGTTTTGTTCATTCATTACTTCTATTACATCTGAAAAATCAGTACATCTGCAGTGTCTTTTTTCCCTACTGATCCCACATTGCAGACACATTCACCCTTTTCCCATCATTAGTCAAAGATAATGCCTGTAAGTCAAATTGTGATCTCAGAGTAAATCTGAAGGAATTCATAAAAGAGATTTACAGTGAGAAAAATTGAACAGCACTTTTGATCCAAAGGCAGCTTATGGCACTTGTGAATCCAGCCATTGCAGTAGGTGTTTGTGTGCTGTCTTGAAATTATGTTGGAGCACTGAACTGAGCATAGAACTGACTTAGAGGCTTTAGTTTCAGTATTTCATTTCTTTCTCTGACAGCCTTTAAAAATGCTATGTAAGACCAAGAAGCTATGTGACTTTCAGCCATATTCCCTAATCAGATTCAGAATGCTTTAAATATTGCTGTAAACTGTGAAATCTCCTTTGGGCTGCTGTTCTTCCTTTGGCACTAATTCCGTGGGAAGCCTGCCACCTGCGTGACACAAAAATAGGAAACTCAACCTCCTGTCAAATTTTAACACTTTAAAACAACTTCTAAAAGGGAGAGCATCAGTGAAACTGAAAATCAGGCAAGAGAAGAGTGACAGAAAAGGAACTTGAAGGATGGAGCAGGCAGAATTACTAATACAGAAGACCAGTTATAAAGGCAAATCTCAGACATAAAAACAAGGAAGAAAAGAAAACAGGAAGGAGACTGAACGAATACATAAAGAGGAGGAGAAAAAACACAACCAGGAAGATGACAAATAGCAGAAATTACGAAGGATCAAGGCACATGATGAAATCAAGGAGCAGACATGAACAGATAGCATTGAGAGTGGGATTTTTCTCCCTCCTGTAGTCCCAAGGGAGCTTGGCTTGCTAATTGAAGTATCTATTTGTTCACCCCTGTAACCAGCTAGATCTTATGCTGATGTCAGCAAGAAGTGGCAGCTGAGATTTTTTTTCTGCTTAAAGGAGCCTCAGCAATATATACCTATTCCTCCTCAGGAAATTGGCTTTGCCCAAATAAATTTCCCCTTGGCATAGGATGTATGGGACACTATCTCAATTCACCTTGATGGGAGCAGATAGGGAAAGATTCAGCCCCAAATTCAAATAGTTGATAAGGGCAGCTTCACACAGAGTTTCTTTAACAATGGAGATCCAAATTCACAGATGCTAGTGAGCCTTGTCTCTCTCTACTTCCTTTATAGATAGTTCAAAGTAAAATCCGGCTTTACCACTTTGTAAGATTTGCCCTGGAGGAGCCATTCTTTCACCATTTGAAAACTTCCGCTGGTTCCTCAAGTCCAGACAAAAGGTGAGAACTCCTTTTCAGGGTCTGAAGCTATCACCTAGCATACGTTCAATTAAACATTCACAGGCAGTTTTTTGCAAACCTCTTCTGTATGAGGTATGATAGAATTAAGTATCAGTATTATTTATTAGCAATCTGAACTATCCAAAATAATTTTTCTTCAGCCTAAAAGAAGACTGAAGTGTGTGCCACCAAATCCTAGCAAAAGGATCAGAAATATTTAGTGAATTTTGAGAATATTCTTTCATTCCTACCAGTGATCCTTCACATCTTAGATTACCTCAGGGAGAGGCTAAAGGGAAAAAGTAGGGAAACTTCTACTTTAAGCGTTTTCTTTGATGAAGCAGAGGATTTAAAGGAACTATATAGCTGAACAACTTTAAAATTCACTACAAAAGCTGAAAGGGTAAGGGCTGAGGCCAAACCAGGACAGTGAATGACAAGTAAGCAGTTACTGAAATAATTACCTAATAATTACCAAGTACCTGAAAATAAGAGGTAATTTAATTCCATTTCACAGAGGACAAATATAAAAAATAACCACTATGATCAGATTTTTATTGATCTTACACACAAAGCTACTGCTGCTGTGCTGTAATCTGCAAGAATTCTGTGTAAAATCCTCTGTCTTATGAATTTGGAGCCAAATTTGCATGAACATACAGTCAAATTATGACACTAGAAAGACTCCTGGACTTAATTACCACCATGTTACTCAAAGATCACGACAGCATATCCCTGCTGATGTCAGGGCCACTCTAACTGTGTGAAACCTGAAGGATGAATCGACTCTTGTAAGTGCTACAGCTCCCTAAAAGATACACAATATGTTTAGGTCAGGCTTGTACATGCAAGGAAGTGACAAGTCTTTTAAAACAGCTTTTAGGCTCTCTGATGTTATGAAGTATTCTAGGTGTGGTCCCTCTCCGTTCTGGCCCTTTCTAAAGCAGAATTGCCTCCACAGACTAGTAAGAGGAGCATGAGCTGTCAGGAGCCACTGTTACTTCTTTTGATAGCTTGGGCTGCTCCCGAGGCTGAACAAACAAATGCTGGAGGGGCAGTGCTCGCTGTCACCAATCTTATTGTCTTCATTATAGGGTCTGCAAGCAGCTTTCCCTTTTCACTATCTCTGATTTTTAATTTCCCCCCTCTACCAGTATGACATAGAAACCCAGCCAGGATTCAGGCGTTATTATACCTAACATGGCTAAAAAAACCCTTGCCAGTAAAATTCCCATTAATTGATTTAATTGTATTAATTTTATTATGTCAGTGCAATCCAAGCAAAACAGATATAACACCATGCTGGAATAGCATGCATTTGTTCTAGTACAATTTTATACTAATGTAGTACTCCTTTTTATGAAAAGGGGTTAAAATGTGGTTTATCTACAACATAACGATAATCATCTTTATGGAGAGTTTTTTAAGCTCAAGCAGTGACAAAGTGATTACTTAATTGCTCAAGATGCTGATAATGCAGCAACTGGCATAGGTTTGATGTGCACAGCGATGGTTCAAGTATTGACTAAATGGCAAGCCTTTGTATGGATTTACATAGCACTGGCTTATTCTAATAACCTTGTATGTGAACACCTTTTTTTGGGAACAACTGTAATTTTCTCTGCAGTAAGAATTTTCACACAATAGGTTCTTAAAGATTGCTACTATCCTCTTTCACATCTTTATCTCTTTATTATGAATAAACTTTTAGCTGAGAAGTCATGAATGCCTGAACATTTTATACCACATATTGAAATATATAACTTCCAAAGAGCTGTCAGCATATAAGATTTTCAACATCATAATCATACTATGAGCATTTCCCTTGTACAATGCTACTAAAAAGGTAAATTTTAAGATAATAAGAGACCAAACACTAGCTAGAGAGTGATACCTGATGTAAAAAGATACAATTATATTGCCCATTCCTTCTGTCTTAAATATGTGTTTACTTTAGCTCAGCTGAATTAAAACAGGGGGCAAATAATTGCTCTGGAACACCTGTACTAGACAAAGTCAAAATCTAAGCATATTCCAAATGATGGTTCATTCCTCCCTTTTCTTTCCCAGAAACGTTTTTAAAAGACTGCTAATTTTTTTTTAACATTTTTTAAAAGACTGATGCCATCAATTTTGTCATTCAAACTTCCTAGGTCGTGTGCCATGCAAATATTTAGCAAAGACAGATGAGTTTTCTGGGTTCACATGAATACCACTGGGTGACAAAATATCTGACTATGGAATTCTCGACTTTTTCCATTTATCAAAGTCCCCCTGAATCTCTTCAGTATCTATTACACACACTTCTTATTTGTGCTTTCCAGCATTGCTGCTAAATAATGCCTTTCATCACTGTTTCAATTGCAGAGATAATGTGGGATGGCTTGATGCTTTCAGTGGTCTCCTCTTGTGTTCCTATTTAAGGACAGAAGAAGGATGCAAGGAAAATAGTCTTTATTTCACTTTCAGCATTATTCAAGAATAAGAGCCACACTTGCACAAACCCATGACCACTGTGAGTTGCATCATGACCCACACACCTGTATGTACCATTCAAATCACATTTCAGCTCTCAAAATAAGGGTTAGTTGGAGCTCAGGGGAAACATGCCCAATGCTGCTGGGAAAACATGATGAATTTTAGGCATGGTCATTTGGGTGATGACATGATGACCTTGAAGCGGAAGGTCTGGAACGCAACAGCCAGAAAGATTACTCTTCTGTTAGGGGTAACATTTATGGCTGGCAGTTCTGTTTCCTCCTCCTGATTAGAAATGGTCCTCTCCAAGAATGGTTCCTGAGGGATTACAACATATCTCGGTGTTTTGTAACCATCAGTGGAAGTTCTGTTTCCCACAATTAGTATGGAGAAAGTAGGCTGTGACAGAGGAAAGGTCAAGAGAAAGCAGTTGTTTCAAAATAATTACTTTCCAAAAGTGGGGAAATAATGTTTATTTATACAGTAGAAAGAGTGTGCTGTGGAAAAGGGCACAAGGAGACAGGTTTCCCCACTGCTTCCCATCAAGAGATTGCTACATAATGTCAGGTTCAAGCACAAGTGAGACACCTCACATAATTCTGTAATTTTGAACATCCACTTCTGGACTACTGGTGCAAAGCACTCTTTATAGTCAATGGGAAGAAATAGCCCCCATAAGAGAGAAAAATGTATTCCTGTCTTAGCATCAGATCAACCACCTTCAACATGAGCTTTTTTCTCCTGCTGAGAGCTGGGTCTGGGCTCCTAGTTCATGTAGATGTCTAACTAAATGCAAATGAACACAGGCCAGCTGTCTGTGTGTGGCATGTGTCACCCTCAGATGTGCAATCCGTACATTTTATTCATAATTTGCAGAAGACTGCCTGAGAAGCATAAAGAGATAAGGAAAAAAGGAATTGCAATAGAGAAAGAAAGGGAAAGGTCAGGCAAATACAGAAAGAGAACCATGAGGTGAGGAAAATAGCAATGCTGGAAACTGGATGTGAATGCAGAAGGAATTCAGGATAAATGGCCAACCACAAGTAAATCCTATACAGGTTTCCAATTGCTGACACAGCATTCCTATAGAGTCAGAGAAAACTGTTCTTTTGCATAAATGTTACATTCCAATTAAGGGGTTTTTAATTGCTTCCCTAATGTGCCAAGTACTTTACCTACATTTTCCCTTTCTATCCCAGTATTTCTAGCTGAAATTTGTCTTGACAACTTTGCCTTCAGAATCAGAAAGTTTCTCTGTTGTCCACTTGCTTAATTTTTAAACACATCTATGTTTTCATACACTTCAGTAGAACTCCCCTTGGGCGTATTTTGTTCTCGAAATCCCATAATTTCTTGGCAATGCATCAGTAATAGCTTTGGCCGCTGAGATGCTGACCGGTATAATTTCATTGTCTGCTTGCATTCTGCTCTCTACCTGTATCTAACTGCAGTCTTTGTTATGTACTTAGGACATGTGCTCTTTGTTCTGTTTGCACAGCATCCTGCAAAATGGCATCCTAGTCTGTGACTGGGCTCTGCTGCACTCTGATAATAGAGGCGATAAATACCCGTGTCCTGTCTGAGGCTGCTATGATGCATGAGAACCACGCTGTACTTAACAAGCTTTTAAGTGCAAAAGTAGCACTCTGCACACGGGTACAAGGTAACATCACTCTCTCCTGGTTTTGTATTGGGACCCACGGTGTTCTCCCTTGGCCTCAGGCCAACGGGATGCTTTAGACCAAGACTTCTAAGCAGAAGTTCGTATTCAGTTTATTCCCGTTTGTTTCTTACTGTAAACCACGGCCTCAAGCAGTTTCTGTGGGAAGAAGCACAAGACAAACTAGAGGCTAGTGCGAGCAACCCTGGGCGATAAGAGGGGCGGCTTTAAGCGAGAGCCGCGCAGGCCGCCCGCCGTCACTCGTACTGCCGCTCTGCCCGTTCAGCCCAGCACCGCCTCCCGCATCCCCGCCGGGGCCGTCCCCCGGCGCCGGTACCGCCCCCGCTCCGCCCGCCGCCCCCAGCAGCCCCCGCGTTGCCCCGGCCCCGCCGCCGCTCGCAGCGCCCGAGCCGCCGGCGAAGCGAAGGTGCCGCCGTGCGCGGCCCGCCGGGCGCCGCGGCCTGCGGGCGCCGCTGGTTGGCGGCGGGGGGACACGTGAGCGGGGAGGCGGTGGCAGCGGCGGCGGCGGTGGCAGCGGGAGTTTCCCCGACAGCTGGAGGTTGCGGCGGCGGCTCCTCCTCCCCGGGTCCCAGCTAGAGCCCAGAGACCCCCCACGCTCCTCCTTATTGACAAACGCACAAAGGGCCGCGCCGGGGCCGGGCCGGGACGCGTCTGGAGCCGGCATGGGAGACAAGAAGAGCCCGACCAGGTAGGGGCAGCGGCGGCGCTTTCTCGTTTCCCCGGGCCCTCCGGGAGCGCGGGGCCGGCGGCGATGGCGGCGGGGGCGCCCCGAGGGCGGCGGGGGCGTCGCGGCCGGTGCTGCCCCTGGCGCGCGTGTGTCTCCGCAGGCCGAAGCGGCAGCCGAAACCCTCCTCGGACGAGGGGTACTGGGACTGCAGCGTCTGCACCTTCCGCAACAGCGCCGAGGCCTTCAAGTGCTTGATGTGCGACGTGAGGAAGGGCACCTCCACACGGTGGGTCGCCGGCGGAGGGGGAGCGGGGGCGGCGGGGGAGCGGCTGTGCGGCCGTGACAGGAACTGGGGCCGGGGGAGCCGCAGTGCATCCCCAGGGTGTGAGGGAGGGCGGCCGTGACAGGAATCGGGTCTCGTTTAGCAGGGTGGGGGCGGAAACACACAGCCTCCCCCGGGCCAGGGCTCCTCGGTGAACCTGACCCAGCGGTGCGCCAGCGTGCGTAGAAACAGAAAGAATAAATACCAGGAAGGGCATAATTGCCTGCACAGCCTAACCCTGGAGAGATTGTGCCCCTCTCACGAAGAAGAGCTGTCGCCTATGATGTGCCTGCTAAGACGCTCACACTTTCAATTTTTTTAATTTTAAATTATTTTTTCTATGAATTTAACTTTGCCTCATACGTAACTCCTTTGTTTGATTATTATTGGTCTTACTAGTATTTTTTAAATTCGCTTTTCATCACAGAGCATCACCGTGCAGGCTTCCAAGGGCTATGGGGGGTGGATTATAACCCTTCAGTGTTTAGGGAGGAATTGTTAGCTGAATTGCACTTTATGGAATTGCCTCCCTGTGTAACTGTGACTTCCCAGGAGGACCTTTTCTCTGTACACCAGTCACAAAGCTCGCGGTGGAGTAACTGGTTCCTGTGTCTGCCGGTGGCCTAAACGCGTGTGCCTGGGGAAAGGAGGCTTTTTACAGACGAACTTGAGTGCACTTGTAGCCACGCATGCTAACGGAAGAGAACGTTGCTCAAGAATCCTTTCTTGGCGTTGCCATACCTATGGGTTAATCCCATAGTAAGAGAACTTTAAATGGCAATCAAGTTGCAATCCTATCAAAAGCCGCAATTACATTGTAGATACTGGTCAAAGCAATGCTGAGTATGACTTGCAATAAATGTTACATGTTTGTAATTGCACGGTTAGGTCCAATTACTTGGCAAAAATGATTTTTCTTTATTTCTGGAGTTGGTTTCCCGGACTTCTGAAAAACAGAATGAGTATTGGAAGGCCTTCTCATAACTTCAGTTGTGAATATGAGTTGAATGTGGGTTTTTGTTTGTTTTTGTTGGAGTGTTTTTTTGGTTTTTTTTTTTGTTTTGTTTTTTAACAAAGGAAATCAATAAGGTAAATGTGACAAGAGGGAATTGCATCTGTCACATATATTATGGTTTCCAGTTACAACAATGGCATTATGTTTATATCACAGAGAGATGTGTACAGATTGGTAATGTTCAGCAAAATAAGACCGCTGAATTAATGCAAAGTCTATTAAAAAATCATGAAAAAAGCGTCTTTAACATCCAGTCAGTTTGATCAGAAAAGTCAGTTTAGAATTATGTTTTGTTGTATTGGAAACTCAGCTGGATAAAAGCATTGAAACTTAACAAACAAACAAAAAATGGAGCTCCTGAGAAACAAAATGCTTTCATTGTCTTCTAGTTTCCCTATTTGAATATTTCATCTTTTAAATAATTTTGCAACAAAATGTCATTTTTCTTGCTTTGGTTTCCACTTTCTCCCTGACAGTGACCTGGTATGTGAACTGTAGTTGATAGGTTGATTTTTTATTTCTCTATTTTAGCTCTGTAACAATGTGTCCCTGAGCAGGTTTATGGGACTCTTTTTCCTGAAAGGTTTAGATGGATTGCTTCTTCATATGATAGCAAAATCCAGGTTTTACACATAGCATGAGGTAGATAAAAGTTGAGGTTTTAGGCCAGGCAGCTTTTGTCTCCAGTTCTGATATATGATTTGAGCTAGTAAGTAGACCTTTGTGTCCATGAAGAGAATCATTAGGGTGCCAAAGAAACACAAAAGGCCAGCTGGGTGGTTGTTTTTTTGGGTTGGCTTTTTGTTGGTTTTTTTTTTTTTTTTTTCCTCCCAAGGACCTGGAGTCCAAGTGACCAAATTTTTACCTTGTTAAAACATTTGTTAGTGTTGCCTATAGAACAAAATGGTTTTCATCAACATGGGGCAGGATAACAATATTACCATGTTTTGATGACGCTGAGAATGCATTATTTATTTAATTTAGTCTTCCATTTTGAAGCTTGATGTTAGATTAAGTTGATGCATCAGCATGGTTGTTGCTGTGCAATGGTTCTTACTTAGAAGCTTTAACTGTATTTTTTTTCTGATTAGAACTTTGTCTATAAGATCTTGTAAAACACTACTTTTTTAAAAATTCAGAGAAATCTCTTTCTTTGCGTTGAAATGTGTCATACATGATTCTGCATGCTGCATGTTAAACTTCATTAAAGGTGACCAGATTTGCAGCTGGAAAAACAGATAATTGTATTGAAGCTAAGTGGGTTTGAAGGCCACTGGAAATGAGGTGCAAAGTTGATTAATATATATATTTTTTAAAATACTGGTTATGCACATTTACCTTTACAGAAATGTTTTCAGGTACGGGTAGAGTTTGTGGGTATTCTCACTGTTGAATAATTTCTTCACTCTGAAAGAGTAACCTTTTATGCCAGAGGCTAGAAGTGGATTATGTTCTTTAGTAACTGATAGAATTGTTAAGATTGGTGCAAATTATTTTTACAATTTTTTATTATATTTTATTTCTAGACTGAATTTTCAAAGCAGATTAGATCATGGAATTAAATTAACTTTTTGTCTATGGCAGCATTGCATTGAATGGTTAAACTAGGCTGTCCTTGAAGGGGGATGTCCCAAGGGAAATCCTGGATGCTGCAGGAAGTGGTGTAACTGATTCCCAAGGTGGTGCTCTTTGATTTAGTACTAAAGCAGTGCTCCAGCATGGTGCCAGTTAGATGTGCCACAAGTCAGATGTAAAACTAAGATCCTACCTGCCAGATGGAGATCCCTCTACCTTTTACTCTGCAACTATTGGCAGATGTTAGTTTGGTAATGTCATTGAGCGTCTAAACTCTCCATGTACACATGGCTTTAGTATTTACTTTCTAACCTAAATTGTTCTGTTTTGTTGCTTGAGTACTGAGAAATTGCTCTGTTCCTCTTGATAGGAGACTGCACTGAGTATAGTAATTTTCTACATGTGACCTTTTAGACATTTTGAAATCTTTCTAGATGAAAGATATTATAAAAATATAAGAACATAGGACTGTAACAATTACTCATTTCTTGAGCAAATCTCCTGCTGAAGTTCATTAGAAGCACAAGTAAGTAATACTGAATAGAACCCTAGTGTACTGGGTTATAGAGGGAACTGGTAGCAACCTCTATATTTAGGTTGCCTAATAGTTTCCATTATAAAGAAATAGTATGACCTTTTTGAGGTTTGTTGTTTGCAAAAGTCGTTGTAGTTTGGCAAGAGGAAAAGTCCTTAGGCTAAATAAGTGGTCTGATTTCCTTGCTCCATGAAATTGTTTAAGTTTTCCTGAGACTAAATCACTTGAAAATCTTAATTCCCCCTCTGTCACTTATGTTGTACAGGAAGGTCTTTGCTAGAACACTGAAAAAGCCAAGAATGGAACGCTGAAAACACGGAAGGGAATTATATGACTCCTGGAGAAGTTATAATGGCGTTGCTGAATTTGGTTTGATTCTCACAGTTACTGCTTTGTCAAAAGAAAGTTGCCTCCATTGGAAAGCTACCATTTCCTTCTTTCCTTCTGTTCTTCATGGCACTATCTGAATCAGGAGTGTACCAATACTGGTTGACCTTCAAGAATTGGGCTGGATCTTTGGACAGACCTTATTGCTGCGAGTATTTGCTCCCAGTTTGTCTGTCCTTCAATAGATGTTTGGATTTTGCTTTCCTTACCAGCTAACACCATTAGTCACTGTGATTTAGATGTGTTGTGAAGCTGAAGATTAAGAGTTTGTGTTGCTGGGAAGAAGTACATGAGAGGATTGGCATTCCCTCTAGAGGAGTGCATGTCTCCTACTCTCTGCTGCCTTCTAGGAGGCTGCATTACTGCCCTGTTATCACCTCTCTGCATCAACTTCCTCAGAAGTGTTATTAATGCTCTTGTTATTCAGTTAGCAATAGCATCCAGATTTAAAATTACCTTTCACTTTGCTTTCCTTCATGTAGTTTTTATGCATGTGGTCTGATCTCTAGTTGCAGATCCTGTTCTTTTTTCCATGCTTTAACAAACCGCTTCTCCTTTCTGTGTGAATGATGAGCATCCAGGGCGGTGTAGTAAAACCTAGAGGAGGAACAGCAAATACTGGCTTTTAAAAATTTGAAGTGCTTGGAATTATATTCTACTATGTAAATAAAGGGAAAAAAAGGATGCAGGGACATGCGAGCAATTCCCCCTTTTCAGACTTGATAACTTTCTTTGATTTTTACATTAGGAAAAAGGGCCGAACTCCAAAGGATATTTTCACTAATAGTATTCTCTCAGCTAGTAATAGGGCAAGATTTGTTATACAGACATATATTTTATGATTGTTATGCTTTTATTTTATTTTTTAGAACTACTTTCATTACTTGCTTTGAATTCAGTAAGAATTTAATATCTTGCCAGTAAATCTGAGTCTTTGTAAATTTTTTTTTTATTTGACTGGGGGTAAAGGAGAATAAGGAGATGAAACAGCTACAGATGACTTTGTGAAGTTTTGTGGGTGTCTGTTTTTTTTTTTTTAACTTGGACTTAGGATTTTTTTTTTTAAGGGATTAGTCTTTGATATACATGTTGAGTGAGATCTTGTATGCAATATCATTTATAAAATAGCCCCTGAAATCTGTAGCCAGAATGAGAAAGTCATGTTTAGTCAGGATGAACTTTTGTGGATTTGAGATCTACACCTCTTAATGTCCTTTACTGCTGAAGTACAGATAATATATAGCCAGCCAAATGGGGGCATGGCTTCTGTGATGACTATGATCTATTGATCTTCATCACTGAATTGTTCCTTTTCTCACAGGCTAAGGTATGAAAAGCCAAATTGAAATCCCACCAGACACCTAAGAGTGTGAGATATAAGGAACTGGGATAGAATCTTTGTACACTTCCTTGGTATTTGGTCTGTGTTCCTTGACTGTGCCTGAGAGTTTGGGCATCTAATGTATTTTATAATCATATCTGATGATCTCCTAAATATAAGATACAGGTCTCTACTTGGAACTCCCATGAGTTTGTTTTGTGCTTTAAGACTCATAAATAAAATGTTTAATTTTTTAGCTTGGATATCAAGGTCATTTTTCTTCAGAAAACATGTGCAATGTGTTTAGTCATGTACCATCTGGATGTTTATAAGCACAAATCAGTTACATTTAATCAAATCTGGTATTTGTATTTCTGTTGAAATGCAGTACTGCTGAGGAGAGTTGGTACTTCTGTTGTATATCTGGTTTAACATGTCTGTTTCACAACAGCTTGTTAAGGACTCTTCTGCCTTCCAGCCTCTGTGTGTGCACATGCGTGTGCGTGTCAGGGGGAAGGTTGGGAAGGAGAAAAAGAGGAAGAACTGCCTGTCATGCTGATTTTACAAATACATGACTGAATCAAGCTCAACAGACTCAAGAGCTGTTTGTTACTTGTGGTAGTTTAGAGAAGGAAATATTTGCAGGAATGAAGTGAGTGGAAAAGTCATGTAGAGCTTGGTGAAATATGGATTATATATTACAAGTTTTATGGTTTAGTGTTAATATTAAACTATGAAGAGGAGCAAGAATAAATAGTTCTCTTTTGCTCTGTAGGTAGCCATTGAGTAATCCAGTCATTCTGGACTTCCAGTCTTACTTTTAAAAACTCTTTTAGAAAATAACCTTTGAAATTATTTAGGATTTTATTTAGGAATTGTTTTCCGTGAAAAATGCAGTGAAACTTACGAATCTGCACACATCAATTTCAATATTGTTATATAACAATGAATGAATTTTTATTGATTGGGTGGCTCTGTTAGATGCTCCTCATGGGTGTAGATTGTATGGGCAACAGAGAATGCAATAGGCAGCCAAACAAATGAAAATCAAGTCTGTATTTTAAAAAGAAATAGTGAGAGTGTTGTTGGGGTTTTTTTTAAGGTTAAATCTCACATTAAATCTTTGTAGTTTTGAACCTGACAGTTATTTTAATTTGTTACTCTAAGAAGCTCATAAAAAATCGTAATCTGCTTGATCCACTACAATCTGGTATCCTTTTGTATCTTGTTACTACTTAAGTAGGTCTTTCTTTCATGTAGTTGTGGAGCCTGCTGTGCTTTGTGCTGTCTTTTTTGGAATTCAAAATTTTCATTTTGAGTCACCTTCATGCAGGATTGTCTTGTCAGATAGTATTCACCATCTCTCAGCTTGATTCTTGTTCTATTCCTTATACTTTTGCCCAAAGTATAATTAAAAATATTAAATAGCATGCCTGTAGAACCTCACTATAAATTCTACCCCATAGATAAATGTAAATATACCTAGTGGTGGTTGTTGGGAACTATTAAACAAGAAAACCCAACTTTTGAACTTTATTCTGCACAATTTTGTCCTCATCATAGTTTAGCTTAAGCAGGAGAATATTTTTTTGACTGAGTTGCAAGTCAAGACTGTGTTTCTTTTCTCCTAGTCAGCAGGGCTACTAGTCTGTGAAAGAAAGAAACTAGACTGTCAAGCTGATTTGCTTTATCCTTTAATGCTCCCAGTTCTTTAATAATTTCATTGTAGTAACCTTCTGAGATTTGAGTTAGATAGAGATTATTTGCCCATCTTATAATTTTTTTTCTTTTTTTTTGTTCTGCAGTACCTGATGACTTTTTTCGCCTTTCCAGTAGTTCTCTAAATATTTTTTGCTGAGGGTGAATTTTATTAGAAGCTGTTCACTGCCATAAATAACATTCAGCGGTCTATTTCTTATTCTAACTTGAACTCACACTCTCTTGTTTAATTTGATTATATGGAATTAAATTTTTGTGTGGGTACTGAAGCAAAGAAGACTTTATCCGTCCAGTATTTGCTTTTTTTCCCTGATTAAGTACTTACCTTTGGGGCATAAGTAGTGTGTGTTTTGATATATGTAGCTTTGCTTGCTGGTTTTTCTTTCGTTTTTTGGGGTTTTTTTTCATAGAAATGTCATCTTTGTTTTTAGTTACACCAGTGGTATTCTTATTCTATGTTTTCTAGGGAAAATTGTCTGTCCTAGACTAAAAGCTACCAGGATTTGAATAAACACCTAAAAGAAATTGAAGTATGTTAAAAGAGAAGATTAGCTGGTAAAAAGAAAGCTCTTGTACCACTTGTAAAGTGATGAGAATTTACGTTTTCTGCCCCTAACTTATTACCTAATTTTTCCTTGATTGCTATAACAGCCCACTATGCCTGTTCCTGTTTAAAACTTGATAGAAATATTTGTACTTTTCATCTTGAAAGTCAGGTTAGGACAGTATGCTTTACAGAACATTTCCTTGGAGTATCAAATGATGTCTTTTTGGCTCATACAGTCAGCTACAAGATACTTTTGAAGTAGGCTAGTTAGAACAAAATACTAAGTGTTCAAATCACACAGTAGCTTATCCTGATTTAAGTAGGAGAGAGAGATCCTGAGGATTGTCTGTTCTCTGAAGTGCATTCCACTGGTATGTGGTTCGCTGATGTAGAACCGGCTTCAACTTGGAGAGTTCAGCTGCAGAATGTTGTTGGAAGGCTTTTGGCTGGCAAACTTTCCATCAAAAGTCAGATTGAAGACTAGAAGATATGACCTTGACATCTGCTACAAGTTTTTTCTTGTTTTCTTAGGAGTTGAGGGGTGGGGAGGAAACAAGTAATTGAAAGTTTTCCCATTCCAACTTACTCAAGATTTGGAACCTATCTTTAAACTTTTCCAAAATGCTTAAATATACTTTCTCTGTACTATACAGCTCATATGACAGTGCCTAGTAGAAAAAAAAAAAAAAGTGAGTGAGCAGGGGTTTGAGTTGGTTTGGCACATGCTGTGAAAGGAAGGTTGTTTGTTACTGCTGTTGTTGAAATCTGTGATTAGGTTCACGCACTAGAAATTCTGTAATTGAATAGG